TTAGATACTTAGTTTGATACCTAGTGTTCTTAGTTAGATACCTAGTTTGATACCTAGTGTTCCTATTTAGATACCTAGTTTGATATATAAGGTTCTTTGTTAGATACCTAGTGTTCTAAGTTAGATACCTAGTTAGATACCTAGTTAGATACCTAGTGTTCTTAGTTAGATACCTAGTCTGATACCTAGTGTTCTTTGTTAGATACCTAGTTTGATACCTAGTGTTCTTAGTAAGATACCTAGTCTGATACCTAGGGTTCTTAGTTAGATACCCAGTTTGATAACTAGTGTTCTTCCTTAGATACTCTAGTGTTCTAAGTTAGTTCTTAGTAAGATACCTAGTCTGATACCTAGGGTTCTTAGTTTGATACCTAGTTTGATACCTAGTGTTCCTATTTAGATACCTAGTTTGATATATAAGGTTCTTTGTTAGATACCTAGTGTTCTAAGTTAGATACCTAATTAGATACCTAGTTAGATACCTAGTGTTCTTAGTTAGATACCTAGTGTTCTTTGTTAGATACCTAGTTTGATACCTAGTGTTCTTAGTAAGATACCTAGTCTGATACCTAGGGTTCTTAGTTAGATACCTAGTTTGATACCTAGTGTTCTTAGTTAGATACCTAGTTTGATACCTAGTGTTCTTAGTTAGAAACCTAGTTTGATACCTAGTGTTCTTAGTTAGAAACCTAGTTTGATACCTAGTGTTCTTCCTTAGATACTTAGTTTGATACCTAGTTTGATACCTAGTGTTCTTAGTAAGATACCTAGATTGATACCTAGGGTTCTTAGTTAGATACCTAGTTAGATATCTAGTGTTCTTAGTTAGATACCTAGTCTGATACCTAGTTTGATACCTAGGATTCTTAGATACCTAGTTTGATACCTAGTGTTCTTAGTTAGAAACCTAGTTTGATACCTAGTGTTCTTAGTTAGAAACCTAGTTTGATACCTAGTGTTCCTATTTAGATACCTAGTTTGATATATAAGGTTTTTTGTTAGATACCTAGTGTTCTAAGTTAGATACCTAGTTAGATACCTTGTGTTCTTAGTTACATACCTAGTTAGATACCTAGTGTTCTTAGTTAGATACCTAGTCTGATACCTAGGGTTCTTAGTTAGATACCCAGTTTGATACCTAGTGTTCTTAGTTAGATACCTAGTTTGATACCTAGGGTTCTTATTTAGATACCTAGTTTGATATATAGGGTTCTTCGTTAGATACCTAGTTAGATATCTAGTGTTCTTAGTAAGATACCTAGTGTTCTTAGTTAGATACCTAGTTTGATCCCTAGGGTTTTTCGTTAGATACCTAGTTTGATACCTAGGGTTCTTAGTTAGATACCTAGTTTGATATGTAGGGTTCTTCGTTAGATACCTAGTTAGATACCTAGTTAGATACCTAGTGTTCTTAGTTTGATACCTAGGGTTCTTAGTTAGATACCTAGTTTGATATATAGGGTTCTTCGTTAGATACCTAGTTAGATACCTAGTGTTCTTAGTTTGATACCTAGTGTTCTTAGTTAGATACCTGGTCTGATACCTAGGGTTCTTAGTAAGATACCTTGTCTGATACCTAGTGTTCTTAGTTAGATACCTAGTTTGATACCTAGTGTTCTCAGTTTGATACCTAGTTAGATATCTAGTGTTCTTAGTAAGATACCTAGTTTGATACCTAGTGTTCTTAGTTAGATACCTAGTTTGATACCTAGTGTTCTTAGTTAGATACCTAGTTAGATACATAGGGTTCTTAGTTAGATACCTAGTTTGATACCTAGGTTTCTTATTTAGATACCTAGTTTGATATGTAGGGTTCTTAGTTAGTTACCTTGTTTGATACCTAGGGTTCTTAGTTTGGTAGGATTTTATATATCAACAATTTTCATCAATTTTCAATTTAAGTTATGAAATATATCTTCACTAGAAGAAACACTTAACAAAGTTTAGCAGACCCCTAAGCCACTTCATTCTAATTGTATGTCTGTATTATTTGTATCTCCTTTGATGTTTTATGACGCAGAAATTACAGGTGACGCAGACCTATAGTTATGATACACAAGATATCACCTCCACCCCCAGATGTAATGACACATGAAGTTTGGTAAACTTGCATGAAAACAAGGAAATTATTGCATTGAAATAAAATTTATTTTTGTTGAATGGAATGGACAATGGAGGTCACAGAGACGTAGTAACAATCTGCCTCCCAGGTGATGCAGCACACGAAGCCTGGTCCGTTCAAACATTTGAAAAAATGGCCGAAAAGTTTAGTATTTCATGCTCATTGGATATAAGGTCGATGTAGTTAAGGGTTTGACACCCCCTGATATAACAACATATCAAGTTTCATTAAATTGAAAATATGTGAAGAAAGTATGGCCTTCATTTTGTTTCCCCTTTAACCCCCAGTGGAACAGATAACACAGTGTGACGTCTGATCTCTGATGGTGATCATGTGTGGATGACTTACCAGGGTCAAGGACAAGTGCAACTCTGGACAGTCTCCAGTTGTCCACTGGTGTGGTACAGTTGAGGTCAAAGGTTGTGGTTAGGACTTGTCGACTCTGAATAATAATAATACAATGGTTGTTGTGATAAAATAAATTCTCTACTACAATGATATCAATGTACGATCCATGTGATAAAACTGTAGGGTTTGTACACCTCTAGATCTGTTACCAATGTATCCTTTAGATAATAAAAGTGGAGACTTAAGTGTGGAAATGTTTGTGCTAATCTTTCAACAAACACTGGTGTGGGTGTGCTGAAACATATAGTTTATACTGTGTCAAAAAAATAAGATTATATTGCATGTTTTCATTGGTGAAAAATCAGCATTGGACATTCTTTTTGGTCAGACTGAATTGGCTCAGTGAAAAACTCATACTTATTTTGTGTTTCAGATACATTTTTATTGTCAATTTAATAGCTGCATATTGTTCTTTCCTAGACAGAAGCCTCATGGCTGATTTTGATACAATGATATGAAACATTTCATTACAGATTTTGTAAAAATGTGTTAAAGAACTTGTACAAAATGTGCAATTGACAACCTATACATAGATAGTTAGGAGAACCTAATATTATTTCACCCTTGACCCCTGAATTGGCTTGGGTCAGTATATTTCAAGGACATTTCATAAGAATTGGTTGTTATGTCTAGAGAAGAGTAAGATACTATTTCTCAAGGTTGTTTTTATAATAAACCTCTTGTCTGTTTTCATCAAGACCAATCACGAAGAAAGTAAGAATAATAGAGAATGTTTCAGATTTGATAAAAAACTTACCTTGTTCATGTAGACAGGGCAGGGGTAGTATGTGACCTTGTCCCTGGTGGTCAGCTCTGCTTTGGATTTAGGTCGCAGGTATATACAGGGAATACTGTACAGGGCCGACCTGGACAAAACATGGAGTTGACACTTAAACAGGTTCATAACAAAGGTAAGATTGTGTAAATCTGTAATGAAATGTTTAGGACTATTTGACAAAACTTTGACATAGGTTCGTATGATAGCTAGGCTGTGTGGTATGACATAGGTTTGTATGATGGCTAGGCTGGTATAACATAGGTTTGTATGATAGCTAGGCTGTGTGGTATGACATAGGTTTGTATGATAGCTAGGCTGTGTGGTATGACATTTGTTTGTATTAGATAGGCTGTGTGGTTTACATAGGTTTGTATGATAGCTAGGCTGTGTGGTATGACATAGGTTTGTATGATAGCTAGGCTGTGTGGTTAACATAGGTTTGTATGATAGCTAGGCTGTGTGGTATGACATTGGTTTGTATGATAGCTAGGCTGTGTGGTATGGCATAGGTTTGTATGATAGCTAGGCTGTGTGGTATGGGATAGGTTTGTACGATAGCTAGGCTGTGTGGTTTACATAAGTTTGTATGATAGCTAGGCTGTGTGGTATGACATAGGTTTGTATGACAGGTAGGCTGTGTGGTATGACATAGGTTTGTACGATAGGTCGGCTGTGTGGTATGACATAGGTTTGTATGATAGCTATGCTGTGTGGTATGGCATAGGTTTGTATGATAGATAGGCTGTGTGGTATGACATAGGTTTGTATGAAAGCTAGGCTGTGTGGTATGACATATGTTTTTATGATAGCTAGGCTGTTTGGTATCACATAGGTTTGCATGATAGCTAGGCTGTGTGGTATCACAGCGATTTGTATGATAGCTAGGCTGGTATGGCATAGGTTTGTATAATAGCTAGGCTGTGTGGACATGACATAGGTTTGTATGATAGCTAGGCTGTGTGGTATGGGATAGGTTTGTACGATAGCTAGGCTGTGTGGTTTACATAAGTTTGTATGATAGCTAGGCTGTGTGGTATGACATAGGTTTGTATGACAGGTAGGCTGTGTGGTATGACATAGGTTTGTACGATAGGTCGGCTGTGTGGTATGACATAGGTTTGTATGATAGCTATGCTGTGTGGTATGACATAGGTTTGTATGATAGCTATGCTGTGTGGTATGGCATAGGGTTGTATGATAGATAGGCTGTGTGGTTTACATATGTTGTATGATAGCTAGGCTGTGTGGTCTGACCTTGGTTTGTATGATAGCTAGGCTGTGTGGTATGGCATAGGGTTGTATGATAGATAGGCTGTGTGGTTTACATATGTTGTATGATAGCTAGGCTGTGTGGTCTGACCTTGGTTTGTATGATAGCTAGGCTGTGTGGTATGGCATAGGTTTGTATGATAGATAGGCTGTGGGGTTTACATATGTTGTATGATAGCTAGGCTGTGTGGTCTGACCTTGGTTTGTATGATAGCTAGGCTGTGTGGTATGACATAGGTTTGTATGATAGCTATGCTGTGTGGTATGGCATAGGTTTGTATGATAGATAGGCTGTGGGGTTTACATATGTTGTATGATAGCTAGGCTGTGTGGTATGACATTTGTTTGTATTAGATAGGCTGTGTGGTTTACATAGGTTTGTATGATAGCTAGGCTGTGTTGTATGACATAGGTTTGTATGATAGCTAGGCTGTGTGGTATGACATTGGTTTGTATGATAGCTAGGCTGTGGGGTATGGCATAGGTTTGTATGATAGATAGGCTGTGTGCTTTACATAGGGTTGTATGATAGCTAGGCTGTGTGGTATGACATTGGTTTGTATGATAGCTAGGCTGTGGGGTATGGCATAGGTTTGTATGATAGATAGGCTGTGTGGTTTACATAGGTTTGTATGATAGCTAGGCTGTGTGGTATGACATACTTGGCCTCAGCGAGGGAGTCGAGGTCGTAGTTCCAGCTAGCGCCTTGAAGGTTGATCTCAGTGATAAATAGGCCCCCCTCATCAATGTCATAATCCTTGATGTTGATCTCATCCATGACCACACACTCAAATGAAATCTGAAAACAGAATTTAACAAAACTTTCACGACACCATTAAAAATGACTTACTGTAACAATCAGTAAAATAGTACAAGGAAACATGTGTTCATATATTAGATTGTTACCTATGATAGGCTTTGTGGAATGACATACATCCAGGATATTCACTGTTTTTGTCCATTCAATATCAAAATTATAAATTTCACGAGTATGGGAGAAAATCAATATTTTTTAGCGAATACAAAACACAGCGAAAACATTAGTATGATCTGCCATTCCAGTGAAATATATATAGCTTTTAATGGGAAAACTCTGAACTATTTCAACATTTTAAAGGGCAAGGATGAAAATATTAAAGCAAAATATTAAACAGCATTAGCAAAGAATATGATTTAGTAGCATAATGTTTTGGTGATATATCTTTATAATGTCATGCTTGACAACAAGGCTGCCATCCTTTTATTTTGTTTTGTCTTCTAGTTTTATATTATCCGGTATGGTTAATTCGAAAAAAATTACCAATCATTTAGTAATGTTTATAACTTTGTGTACTGGTACCAAATGCACACACAAACTAGAATTTTGTTTTTGTGAACAAAAACATATGTCTCCCCTTATTAGCCAATAGACAAACTTTGGTATCAAAAACTAACAAAGGGCAATATCTCTTTTTATAGTGGGGCACGAGACCAAAATTTAGAATGCGACACTCCTACTTCCCATGATACATTAAAAATATAGCAAGTTTAGTCAACGTAGGTCAAATAACATGGAACTCATGCTCCAGACAAACTTCAGTATTTAAAATAAACAAAGGGCCATAACTCTGTATATAGTGAAGCACGCACGAGACGTATTTCCAGTGCACTGACACCTTCTGTGGGTGATGCAGGTATACTTCAAGTTTGATTAAGATATCTTTTACCGTTTAGAAGTTATGCTGTGGACAAACTTAGATATAAACAAAAATACCGTGGGGCGGAACAAAATACGCCAGTCAAATGCCATATAGTGTTATATACTTTCTTACATTGAAATAAGATCTGCATCATTCTAAGAGTGGTTAGCTGATATGCTATAAACAAGAGGCCCATGGGCCTTAACGGTCACCTGACATCTGATTCAAATTAGGACTGTCATCCAGGGGCCAATTCATACTTTTCGTCTGTCCGAGTGACCTTGCTGCATCGTCCATTAATTTTTCCTTGTGAACACAATAACTTCAGTAAATATGGACCGATTTTGATGAAACTTTGTATGCAGCTTTGTATCAATGAGATCTTGGATTAATTTGAATACCGACCAATTTGACCATATCTTACATAGTTATTCCCCTTGGTAATTCTATTATTGTTGGACCCTGTGAACACGATAACTGAAATAAATGGGTGTGACTCCAATTTTGACCCAAGGGGTCTGTTTTGAACAAACTTGGTAACTGTATGTCTTCTGTTCTTGGCAAAAAGAAACAAGTAAAAGCGTAAATCAATAATTTATTAAATAAGGCACAAAATTTTAATAGCACCTTGTTAGTAAAAATGTGTCATGAATGAAAAAAAAGGTGTACCACATGAATTTACATCTATTCTTGTGTAATGTCAATCAACATCACGTCCAGTTTAGAAGTGAAATTCTAAAGACTAGAAAATGTCTGTAAGACATACATGTACCCCCCACCCTGATCGATTAAATTTACTGTGTTCTTTGATCTTCACAATTATGCAAAGCAACACGACACTAAATTCCCTTTGGTCAGTTGATTCTTTGTTATTCATCACCGAAAAGATATGAAGTTTGACCTTTTACTCGGTGACTGACATTTGTCGAGTCAACTCTTTGTTTAATTCTGACCAACTTTTGCTTCATGTCATAAAATGTTCATTATTGAAGAAATGCAAAATCTGATGCTCAGAACTAAGAATTCATCAGTAAAATGCTATAAAGTTACCTATACTTTTTACCAAGTGACCTTGACCTTTGGTGAGTCAACTCCTTGTATAATTCTCATCAACTTTGCTTCATGGCATAACAAAATTTTCTTTGTCAACTTGTCCGAGATCTTTTAGATGTAACACTGCTGACAAAGTTTCATTGAACTCTGTCAACATTTATTCAAGTTATCGTGTTTACAGGGTCCATTAATAATATTATTACAAAGGGCAATAACTCTGTAAGTTACTGTCAAATAATTCCCAGTTTCGAACTCATCCAAGATCTTATTTATATAAGGCTACATACCGAGTTTCATGAAACTTTGTTGATATTTACTCAAGTTATCGTGAACACAAGGTCCAATACAAAATAGTGTAATAATATTATTACAAAGGACAATAACTCTGTAAGTTACTGTCGAATAATTCCCATTTTCCAACTCATCTGAGATCTTATTGATATAAGGTTGTATACAAAGTTTCATCAAACTTGGTTAATAATTACTTAAGTTATCATGTTCACAAGGTCCAATAATAATATTATTACAAAGGGCAATAACTCTGTAAGTTACTGTCGAATAATTCCCATTTAGAGTCTGGGAACTTATTGAGATATGGCTGCATGCAAGGTTTCATCAAACTCGGTTATTATTTACTCAAGTTCTCGTTTTCACAAGGTCCAATAATAATATTATAACAAAGGGCAATAACTCTGTAAGTTATTTTCGAATAATTCCCAGTTTCGAACTCATCTGAGATCTTATTTATATAAAGCTACATACAGAGTTTCATCAAACTTGGTTAACATTTACTCAAGTTCTCGTGAACACAAAGTCCAATACAAAATAGTGTAATAATATTATTACAAAGGGCAATAACTCCGTAAGTTACTGTCGAATAATTCCTATTTTCCAAATCATCTGAGATCTTATTGATATAAGGCTGCATACAAAGTTTCATCAAACTTGGTTGATAATTACCTAAGTTATCATGTTCACAAGGTCCAATAATAATATTATTACAAAGGGCAATAACTCTGTAAGTTACTGTCGAATAATTCCCATTTAGAGTCAGGGATCTTATTTATATATGGCTGCATACAAAGTTTCATCAAACTCGGTTATTATTTACTCAAGTTCTTGTTTTCACAAGGTCCAATAATAATAATATTACAGAGGGCAATAACTCTGTAAGTTACCTTCGAATAATTCCCAGTTTCGAACTCGTCTGAGATCTTATTGACATATGGCTGCATACAAAGTTTAATCAAACTCATTTAACATTATATAGTTATTGTGTTCATAAGGAAAAGTTAAAGCACGACGCACGGCGGACGACGACGGACAAAAGACTATAACAATAGGTTACCATGACCTATGGTCAGGTAACCTAAAAATGTAGGAGAAAATCTTCGGACAAAAAATCAAATACTGAAATGAACAAAAGGCAATAAATTTTGCAAAACTCGTCGAATCAAAATTCTTTTAAGGGAGACACAACTTCATATCATGATTATAAAGTATACCAAGTTTCAAAGAGATCCGCTGAAAAACGCAGGAGGAGATTGCTGGACAAAAATCAAATACTGAAATGAACAAAGGGCAATAACTTTTGAAAAATTGTTGAATCAAAATTCTTTTTAGGGAGACACAACTTCATATCATGATTATAAAGTATACCAAGTTTCAAAGAGATCCACTGAAAAACGCAGGAGGAGATTGCTGGACAAACAAAGCTTACGCCGGACGGACGGGCGGACAACGCCATACCATAATACTACCGTCAAATTTGACGGTCGTATAAAAGCAAACAAAGTGCCATAACTCTATAAATTGTGGGGCACGCGATTTCAATGCGAGAGATTCCGCCCTCCCAAGAAACATGAAAATGGTAAGTTTGGTCAATGTATGCTCCGGACAAACTTCGGTTTTAAAAATAAACAAAGGGTCATAACTCTGTATATAGTGAGACACCAGACCTAATTCCAGTGCACTGCACACCTTCTGTGGGTGATGCAGGTATACTTCAAGTTTTATTAAGATATCTTAAACGGCTAAGAAGTTATGCCGTGGACTATGTGGTGTTTGTAGTATAACTAAGTTGTGTGGATCTATGTGGTGTTTGTAGTATAACTGGACTGTGTGGTGTTTGTAGTATAACTAGGTTGTGTGGTGTTTGTAGTATAACTAGGTTGTGTGGGTCTATGTGGTGTTTGTAGTATAACAAGGTTGTGTGGGTCTATGTGGTGTTTGTGGTATAACTAGGTTGTGTGGTGTTTGTAGTATAACTAGGTTGTGTGGGTCTATGTGGTGTTTGTAGTATAACTAGGTTGTCTGGGTCTATGTGAGGTTTGTAGTATAACTAGGTTGTGTGGAGTAGATACCTCAGCTATGCTACATTTGCTAACAATGGCCTTTTCCTGCATGTAGGAGGTCAATAGGGCTATTGGGTTGACGAGTCCACCAAGCCACACACTGGACAATGAGCCGTGAGCAATGACTGGGTTCTCTGCCAGAGTGTTGTCCTTGAAAGTTGGAACCATGCCATGTTTCACCCAGTTGTGTAGCTGTTCATGACATTTCTTTGTGTCTACAAACATACAATGTCAGTCATTAGCATCTACAGTATTTTTTCTTTTTTTACATCAGGACAAATGAAAGTATAATTTGTTAAATATTCCAATCCTGTACTTTAATATCAATGAGATTTATTGTTTATGTAAACTTCATAACCAATGAAACTGTCAAGACTGACAGATGGGTTGAGTGTAGGGCTGACAGATGGGTTGAGTGTAGGTCTGACAAATGGGTTGAGTGTAGGACTGACAGATGGGTTGAGTGTAGGACTGACAGATGGGTTGAGTGTAGGGCTGACAGATGGGTTGAGTGTAGGACTGACAGATGGGTTGAGTGTAGGACTGACAGATGGGTTGAGTGTAGGGCTGACAGATGGGTTGAGTGTAGGACTGACAGATGGGTTGAGTGTAGGACTGACAGATGGGTTGAGTGTAGGGCTGACAGATGGGTTGAGTGTAGGACTGACAGATGGGTTGAGTGTAGGACTGACAGATGGGTTGAGTGTAGGGCTGACAGATGGGTTGAGTGTAGGACTGACAGATGGGTTGAGTGTAGGACTGACAGATGGGTTGAGTGTAGGGCTGACAGATGGGTTGAGTGTAGGACTGACAGATGGGTTGAGTGTAGGACTGACAGATGGGTTGAGTGTAGGGCTGACAGATGGGTTGAGTGTAGGGCTGACAGATGGGTTGAGTGTAGGACTGACAGATGGGTTGAGTGTAGGACTGACAGATGGGTTGAGTGTAGGGCTGACAGATGGGTTGAGTGTAGGACTGACAGATGGGTTGAGTGTAGGACTGACAGATGGGTTGAGTGTAGGGCTGACAGATGGGTTGAGTGTAGGACTGACAGATGGGTTGAGTGTAGGACTGACAGATGGGTTGAGTGTAGGGCTGACAGATGGGTTGAGTGTAGGACTGACAGATGGGTTGAGTGTAGGACTGACAGATGGGTTGAGTGTAGGGCTGACAGATGGGTTGAGTGTAGGACTGACAGATGGGTTGAGTGTAGGACTGACAGATGGGTTGAGTGTAGGGCTGACAGATGGGTTGAGTGTAGGACTGACAGATGGGTTGAGTGTAGGACTGACAGATGGGTTGAGTGTAGGGCTGACAGATGGGTTGAGTGTAGGACTGACAGATGGGTTGAGTGTAGGACTGACAGATGGGTTGAGTGTAGGGCTGACAGATGGGTTGAGTGTAGGACTGACAGATGGGTTGAGTGTAGGACTGACAGATGGGTTGAGTGTAGGGCTGACAGATGGGTTGAGTGTAGGACTGACAGATGGGTTGAGTGTAGGACTGACAGATGGGTTGAGTGTAGGGCTGACAGATGGGTTGAGTGTAGGACTGACAGATGGGTTGAGTGTAGGACTGACAGATGGGTTGAGTGTAGGGCTGACAGATGGGTTGAGTGTAGGACTGACAGATGGGTTGAGTGTAGGACTGACAGATGGGTTGAGTGTAGGGCTGACAGATGGGTTGAGTGTAGGACTGACAGATGGGTTGAGTGTAGGACTGACAGATGGGTTGAGTGTAGGGCTGACAGATGGGTTGAGTGTAGGACTGACAGATGGGTTGAGTGTAGGACTGACAGATGGGTTGAGTGTAGGGCTGACAGATGGGTTGAGTGTAGGACTGACAGATGGGTTGAGTGTAGGACTGACAGATGGGTTGAGTGTAGGGCTGACAGATGGGTTGAGTGTAGGACTGACAGATGGGTTGAGTGTAGGACTGACAGATGGGTTGAGTGTAGGGCTGACAGATGGGTTGAGTGTAGGACTGACAGATGGGTTGAGTGTAGGACTGACAGATGGGTTGAGTGTAGGGCTGACAGATGGGTTGAGTGTAGGGCTGACAGATGGGTTGAGTGTAGGGCTGACAGATGGGTTGAGTGTAGGACTGACAGATGGGTTGAGTGTAGGGCTGACAGATGGGTTGAGTGTAGGGCTGACAGATGGGTTGAGTGTAGGGCTGACAGATGGGTTGAGTGTAGGACTGACAGATGGGTTGAGTGTAGGGCTGACAGATGGGTTGAGTGTAGGACTGACAGATGGGTTGAGTGTAGGGCTGACAGATGGGTTGAGTGTAGGGCTGACAGATTGGTTGAGTGTAGGACTGACAGATGGGTTGAGTGTAGGGCTGACAGATGGGTTGAGTGTAGGACTGACAGATGGGTTGAGTACAGGACTGACAGATGGGTTGAGTGTAGGGCTGACAGATGGATTGAGTGTAGGGCTGACAGATGGGTTGAGTGTAGGGCTGACTGTTTGGGTGAGTACAGGACTGACAGTTGGGGTTAATACAGGGTACTTACGTTCAAGCCAAGACAGGAGTGAGTGAGTACAAGGCTGACAGTTGGGGTGTACCCAGGACACAGGGACATGCTCTTCCTGTAGACTGTACACAGTTGGCAGTAAGGCCCAGGCAAGGGCCTCGGGACCTCCCAGCAGGGAGCCCTGCAGATCAGCAATCTGTTGTCGAATGTGGCATAGCACTGAGTTCAGCCAAAGACATTCCTGTCAAGAGAGACAATCATCACTAAGGTGATACCTGTATCAATAAATTTTATCATGTCAGATGTAAAAACTTTTGTTTTAACAATGAGAGGCCCAGAGGGCCTGTATCGCTCACCTGGATACCTAAGCAATCATGGTAAAATGTTCTCCAAATGAGATCCAAGGGAATATAATGCCAGACCCCAAGGCCAATCCTTGTAGCATATCTGTATTATATTTTTCATGCCCAGCAATTTTTTATGCATGGTTAGGGGTATGGGATCTCAACTGTTTCTAAGCTGTGACTCAGAAAATAGGTCCCTAGGGTTGTGGCCAGACCCCAGAATCAATTCTTATATCATGACTGCATTCGTCTCTTTTTGCCCAGCATTGGTATCTATAGTTTTGGGGTGGGGATCTTAACCATTTCAAAGTTATGACCCAGGGGTTAAGTCTCCAAGGGTGGGGCAAACCCCAAGGCCATAATGGAAGCATATGTGCATTCATCTCTTTATACTCAGCAATTGTATGTATGGTTATTGGGTGGGGATCTCAACTGTTTCCAAGCTGTGACTAAGAAACTAGGTCGGTAGTGGTTTGGTCAGACCCCAGGGTCTATTCTAATATCATGAATGCATTCGTCTCTTTATGCCAAGCATTTGTATACATCCCTAGGGCCATCCTGGAAGCAAATTTGCATTCTTCTCAGGGGGTCAGCCCAACCATTTGTACAATTTTGAATCCCTGCCTCCCATGAATGCTTCCAACCAAGCATGATCGATATCCATGGCATAGTTCTACAGAAGAGGTCAATTATAGCAATATAGCCAAATTGCCCCCTTTTGCTCCTGCGGGGGTCAGTCCAACTATTTGTGCAATTTTAAATCCCCACCACCTAGGGATGCTTCCAGTCAAATTTAGTTAAATCAGTTGTTAAGAAGAAGAAGTCGTTTAAAGAAATTGTTGACATACAGACGATGAACGGACGCCACAGTATGGCAAAAGCTCACCTTGGTCCTTCGGACCTGGTGAGCTAAAAACTCCTCTATTACAGTTGACAACAATAATAATGACATTAGGATACAATTACTAAGAACTATGTTACATCCTGTGTGAAATCATTGAACAATAACCTCCCTCAACCCACCCTCAGACTCCAGTTACCAGTAGGATATATTGTTAATCTCATATCTCTGAGAAGATGACAGCTTTACCTGTAGCTAATGAATAACCAAATATTTCGACAAATCAGTGATTACCTGTAGGAGACAGTAGTTATACCCTTAGTTACCTATAGGAAACAGTAGTTATACCCTTAGTTACCTATAGGAAACAGTAGTTATACCCTTAGTTACCTGTAGGAGACAGTAGTTATACCCTTAGTTACCTGTAGGAAACAGTAGTTATACTCTAAGTTATCTGTAGGAGACAGTAGTTATACCCTTAGTTACATGTAGGAGACCATAGTTATACCCTTAGTTACATGTAGGAGACAATAGTTATACCCTTAGTTACCTGTAGGAGACAGTACTTATACCCTAAGTTTCCTGTAGGAGACAGCGAGTGTTTATACCCTTAGTTACCTGTAGGAGACAGTAGCCGATGGTTTCAGGCATCTGTGTACTACTGTTGGTGGCTAGGCTGATCAAACTTGGGCGGTGATATGGAAAGTCAAAGTCATTACTGAGGATTTCTGGAACACTGCCGAGCTCCAACAAGTTGGGTAACTCTTCCACACAAAGATCAAGTGAGGAACGCAGCTTCATGATGTTGATGTTATGTTTGGTAGACCGGGAAACATCACCAGCTTCCATGTTCTGTGTCTCAAACATGTGGTCCAAGTGTTCAATAAACACTAGAGAACTGAAGAAACAAAGTCACATGTTAAATTGTCAACTGCTTATCCCATTACCCCTTCAAATACCCAATGCATGACTCACTGGCCTTCTGCCCTTCCCCTTGACATATCCTTCTGATACACTACACCATGACTTACCTCCCCTATAGCCTATCCTTCTGATACACTACACCATGACTTACCTCCCCTTTACCCTATTTTCTGATACACTACACCATGACTTACCTCCCCTACACCCTATCCTTCTGATACACTACACCATGACTTACCTCCCCTACATCCTATCCTTCTGATACACTACACCATGACTTACCTCCCCTGCACCCTATCCTTCTGATACACTACACCATGACTTACCTCCCCTATACCCTTTCCTTCTGTACACTACACCATGACTTACCTCCCCTATACCCTATCCTTCTGACACACTACACCATGACTTGACCTCCCGTTACAGTATGTTACTTACTTAGCCTGGTTGACCTCCCGTTACAGTATGTTACTTACTTAGCATCGTTGACCTCCAGTTACAGTATGTTACTTATGTTACTTACTTAGCCTCTTTGACCTCCCGTTACGGTATGTTACTTACTTAGCCTGGTTGACCTCCGGTTACAGTATGTTACTTACTTAGCCTCGTTGACCTCCCGTTACAGTATGTTACTTACATAGCCTGGTGGACCTCCCGTTACACTATGGTACTTACTTAGCCTGGTTGACCTCCCGTTACACTATGTTACTTACTTAGCCTGGTTGACCTCCCATTACAGTATGTTACTTACTTAGCCTGGTTGACATCCCGTTACAGTATGTTACTTACTTAGCCTGGTTGACCTTCCGCTACAGTATGTTACTTACTTAGCCTCGTTGACCTCCCGTTACAGTATGTTACTTACTTAGCCTCGTTGACCTCCAGTTACAGTATGTTACTTACTTAGCCTGGTTGACCTCCCGTTACAGTATGTTACTTACTTAGCCTGGTTGACCTCCCCTTACAGTATGTTACTTACTTAGCCTCGTTGACCTCCCGTTCTACACTGCTGTGTAGCTGGAGAGCAGGAATGGTGAAATCATCATCCACATTCTTGGCATACCATTTACCAAATTCACTTGAGTCTGAAGTATCAAAATAACTTTGTTTATGATACAGGAAGTATATAATAGTCTCACTTATTGTATTAAAGATTTAAACCATCACTACAGATATCATTTAGTTCACACAGGACAGATGATCTCGGCTTCACACACATGATCACGACACAACTCCATGTAAAATCAGCAGTACATTCACATCTTTACATTGCTGAACTATATAGTTATGGAGTGTAATGACCTATCTTGTTGTCCAGAAATATAATTAACCAATCAGAATAAAAGTGACTAAACTGTATCTATTTAAATGAAATACTTGTTTTACATTGAATAAGTGTATTTGACAGATCTGGTGAGACACCTTGACAAATAACCCCTGCTGTAACTTGTAGATGGTCACTATGACTGCTACAGTACAGATACTTGGGTCAATCCTAAAAGATACTGACCAACATTGGCCGGAGGTGTGGGGATAGCCACGCCGCCGAGGATGAGTTGACCGGACGTGTCTTGGTAAATGTTTGTCAGTACTTGTCTGATGACAGCCTCCACATATGTCTTGTCACTCTCCGTGTACACACAGTTCTTGTACACCAGCTGTAATATATAAGGTCAGAGGTCAAACTGGTCAGATTAACTCAATGTCAGAGGTTATAGATCATCAGCTGTAATCCATACTCTGAGGTTAAATAAGTTTAGTCCAATCAATATAAGAGATCAGGTGTGACTGGGTGTTCCCTATCTGCTGTATTCAGTTGTAAAGTGATTATGTAATACTGTATGTGATCAGTGATCATGTAATACTGTATGTGATCAGTGGTTATGTAATACTGTATGTGATCAGTGATTATGTAATACTGTATGTGATCATGTATACTGTATGTGATCAGTGATCATGTAATACTGTATGTGATCAGTGGTTATGTAATACTGTATGTGATCAGTGGTCATGTGATACAGTATGTGATCAGTGATCATGTTATACTGTATGTGATCAGTGATTATGAAATACTGTATGTGATCAGTGATCATATAATACTGTATGTGATCAGTGATTATGTAATACTGTATGTGATCAGTGATCATGTGATACACACTGGTATAACAATGAACAGTGGTATAACAATGAATACTGGTATGACAATCAACACTGGTATGACAATGAACACTGGTATTACAATCAACACTGGTATGACAATGAACACTGGAATGACAATCAACACTGGTATGACAATGAACACTGATATGACAATCAACACTGGTATGACAATGAACACTGATATGACAATCAACACTGGTATGACAATGAACACTGGAATGACAATCAACACTGGTATGACAATGAACACTGGTATTACAATCAACACTGGTATGACAATGAACACTGGTATTACAATCAACACTGGTATGACAATGAACACTGGTATGACAATCAACACTGGTATGACAATGAACACTGGTATGACAATGAACACTGGCATACCAATGAACACTGGTATAACAATGAACAGTGGTATAACAATGAACAGTGGTATAACAATGAACACTGGTATAACAATGAATACTGGTATGACAATCAACACTGGTATGACAATGAACACTGGTATTACAATCAACACTGGTATGACAATGAACACTGGAATGACAATCAACACTGGTATGACAATGAACACTGGTATTACAATCAACACTGGTATGACAATGAACACTGGTATTACAATCAACACTGGTATGACAATGAACACTGGTATGACAATGAACACTGGTATACCAATGAACACTGGTATAACAATGAACAGTGGTATAACAATGGACACTGGTATAACAATGAACACTGGTATAACAATCAACACTGGTATAACAATGAACACTGGTATAACAATCAACACTGGTATAACAATTAACACTGGTATAACAATCAACACTGGTATAACAATCAACACTGGTATGACGACATATTGTATATTTGTTTTTTGCATGCGGAGGCTTTCAAAAATTTAAGAGTGTTAAGTTAATTTCCTTTAAAATGGTCAACTTTCAACCAATTAGCGCACAGACAATATTCAGACGCATTTTATTATGAAAATGCGGGGTTTATCTATCTTTGTAATGTCATATTTCCTTAACCAGTTGTCAAATGAATTTGAAATTTTATATTTGCCTACTTCATTAATTCCAGTTTACGAATAAAACAACTAATTCTAAATCCCTGATGAGACCGGAAATGAACCTTAACACCCCTAGTCCTTTCCATGAGACAACTTGTTACACATGGGGACCTATTGTATATCTCAAGTCAATATACAAGGCATTAAAGGTCACAGATACTTTTTTTGTATGTTTTTCCTCTGTTAAATGGTGCATTTTGATCCTAAAATGTAACATTAAATAATTGGGTCTAATAATACCTATTCTGTGTAAAATTTATTGTACGATTATTTCATATAAATGCCGGATAAAGTGACTAAATAGTCTTTCAGCAATAATCCCTGAGTGAGGTGGTGTCTGTCCCTATAACAAACCTCGGTGAACAGGTTGGTGATCTCCTCCAGTTTGGGTTCTGCTTCTTCTGTCCCTTTCAGGAGTCGGCCAGTGAGAGCATCTATAGACTGTTCCATTTGTACAGAATTGAAGGGGTACCACTGGTTCAGGCCCTGTGTTCCAAACAGTTGCCGGGCAACCAACATACCCTGAACCACCCCTACACCGAATGCCATTGTACGGATGATCTGTGGTTCTGACATCACTTTTGCCATGGTCGTACTGTCTACTTGTTTTAGTGTGCTTACAATTGCTGGAACACAAAAGGTCAAATTAAACGAAAAAGTCTTTTTTTATCTTCCTGAATAAATGTGAAGAAAGAGTTTGTATATTGTATAGAATTTTATTTTTGCTTCTGAAACCTACTACTGTTTTGTGTACTCAAATCTTGGTGACTATTCATGTGAATTGCTTAACAGTAGCAAATTATAATAAGATTATGGGGGTTAGGTGTTGGTACTACCAAGTCAGAAACCTTCAGGCTGTGTACAGCCTCACAATGGGGGTTAGGTGTTGGTACTACCAAGTCAGAAACCTTCAGGCTTTCTACTACACTGTGTACAGCCTCACAATGGGGGTTAGGTGTTGGTACTACCAAGTCAGAAACCTTCAGGCTATCTACTACACTGTGTACAGCCTCACAATGGGGGT